CCGTGCTTGCTGCGCCATCTAGTGGAGCAGCGTGCCGCACGTGCCCCCGCCAGTTGAGCATAAAGGACTGAATGCGCTGTTTTAAGGATACGGTGTGTGAAATGAAGTGTTTGTCCATGTATGCGCAAATCCTCCTAACGTGTGTAAGGAGTGGTACTGCTGGAAAATGGCGGTTGGGGTATTCAAAAAGAAGATTTGGGGCTTGTCGGTTGTCTGCTTCCACAAATGCAGTTACTTATAACCTTGAAGTTATTTTTGAGCTCACTCAACACAGTAGAGAGCAGATAGGAGTAGAATGATCGATGACAAGTTCATATTAAATTCCTTTTGTTCGTCAAGTTTCCCCTTGATATTTATAAATCAAAGTCACTAATATAATACTGCAGTATTTACTACTTTGGGGGCTGCAGTAGTGTGTCCCTCGATGTATTTAACAACTATAACCAAAGCTCTTGTGATTTTTAAAACTTAACAAAATACACTGTTTTCTAATTAAAGAAAAAAAAAGGAGTTCTTAAAGAAGATGCTAAATCCGGGAATAACCAGTAAAATCCTCAGAATGAAAATTGAGAGAAATCTAACACTGCAAATATTAAAATTTGTTATAACAGTCAATAAAAGTCTCTGGCCCAGGCACAGGAATAACCAGATACATAGATCAATGGAACAGAATGGAACTCAGAAATCCGCTGTGAGGGCGGAATTTTGCATTAATGAGGACAAGAGGAAATATTCAATAGTGTTGAGAAGATTAGCTATCCATAGGGTTAAAAATAAGAATGGATCCCAGACTCATTCTTTCCCCCCAAAAGAGATTCTGGATGATGAAAGGATTAAAAATTAAAAAAAAAAAAAGAAACTATAAAATTACTAAAGGAAACTATGGATATTTGAAAGATAATCTTAATGTAGGAAAAGTGCTAAATCAATAGACCCAGAAGCCATTTAGGAAAAGACATTTTATCCTTATAGCAAAACACAAAAGTTGGTAGAAAATTACAAAACATTAATACTTAAGGGTAAATACTGCATTCCTTTTTTTCTTTTTAAAGTTAAAATGGATTAAATTTTATGTTGACACCACTAACAGAGGACTGTGGAGACTACAGAGAATAAGAGATGAAAACAATTTGAATTTGTGTTTCTCTGGCTAGTGTGTGAAGCTAAGCATCTTTCCATGTGAATGCCATTTGCTTTCCGTCTGTGAAATGGGTGTTTCCTGAGGTGGTTTGTGAAAATTCTTTTCTCATTATTTTGTTTTGGATATAAATCTTTTACTATGTATATTGAAAATATTTCTGCATCTACTTATTACTATTATTATTATTATTATTATTATTTTCCTTTTAAAAATTATCTTTTTTACTCTAGAAGTTTTATTGTTTTGCAGTCAGATCTCTCAGTGTTTTCTTTATGACTCTGGAATTTGTGACTGGACCAGGAAGGCCTTCCACACCCAGAAACAGTAAAAGTATCTTTTGGGGAGTTTCTTCAAATACTTCATATATTCTAATTCATTTTGACTTTCTAATGCTCCTGCAACTCTTACATTAGTGGGGGGATCTAGCCTCCTTTTTACTGCATCGATGGTGGGTGACTTGTGCCCCCTGATGGAAATGCTCAGTTCCTGTGTAGACAGCAGTCTAGCTTACTGCCCCCTTCATTGCAGTCTCTTCTAAAACTGAACATTTCATAGAGAGGACTCTAAATTCTGGAGTGCATTCTGATATCTAGAAGGAAAACTCTTCTTTCCCTGTACTTTTTCAAAATCTTCCTAGCCTTTCTTGTATATTTTCTTTCCCAGATGAATTTTAGACTCTGCTCTAGTTCCGTAGCAGTCCTCTTGGAATGTAGGTGGGGAATGCATTGAACTTAATTTTATTAAAAAAAAAACAAAAAAAAAAATCTTCAGGACATTGATGTTTCTTCCTTCCTGTCACATGTTACATCTCTCCACTTACTTAGTTTTTCTTTTTTGTCCTTCAGTAAATTTTTCTTCATGTACATCTTGTGTATTTTGTTAGGCTTACTCTACTCTTAGATATATGTGGTTTTTGTTGAGATCATAAATGAGGGTTTTTTTTTTTTTAACACTCTATATTTTTACCTGGTGTTTGTCAGGTAGCAAGGACATTCTAAAATACCTTTGACAGTGTTAAATATCCAGGATTGGGTTGTTTTTGTTTTGTTTTGTTTTGTTTTACATTGAACACATTTATTATGAAGGTTATTTTTTTAAGAGTTGTTATTAAATCAGTTTCACTTTATAATTGCAGAATCTTAAATTCCAGAAAATACTGCCTGAGTATATTGAGACAAGATGCCACCTGGGGCCTCTCTGCTCTTCGGAGAGCCAGGCATACTTTTCATGAAGTTCCTGTTCCCAAATCCTCACCATGAGTTCAGCAAATTCGGGATCCCTTCAGCCTCTGCCTGGTGCAGCTGTTCCTGCTGCCTGTCTCCCTTGTCAGCCAGACCCCAAACCCAGCCCCTCTGTTTCCATAAAACATCAGTCACACCAAACATTTTGTGAATTTAGGCTGAAGATGAGAGATCATGGGGACGGGTTTCCGTCCAGGACCCCAGTCAGGCTCACTGTTTTCTTCTCTGAACTTTCGCATCCCCTCTTCTTCTGGGCCAGGGAATAACAGTTTGGAAATCACCTTCCCTCATTCTAAGCCAATTGGAGTCTTATCTTCTAAAAATGCTGAGCGCTTTTCCTGAAGGGAAGTATACTGAGTAAAATTTTCTCTACTCCCTTTCATATCAATAAAGGCTACATACTTGAATATATTCTTGTAAATGGTTAATGAGTATGGCTGGAAAAAAATCTAGAAAAATAGGTTAATGGATTTTATTTTGTTTCATGCAGAACAAAGGACAAACAACGTAAGTATTTATTGCATAGAGTCAGTTCAAACTCAAAGACCTTTTAAGTCCTTGGGAAGCAAATTTAAATAACATTATGACTGTAAGGGTTGGTATATCTGAATGTAAGCTTTTTAAAAATGGCATTGACCCTGAAATTTTAATCTTTAGAGAACTGGACAGTAGGTGATAAATTACTTGAAGACAAACCATAGGGATAAAACGTAGAATTACAGTCATTCTGCCGTACAGCGTTCATATTGTTTTAAGTACATCTGGCTTAGGACCGTCTCTAAAATGAAAATTATAAATCAGTTTGCTCTTGTTTCTTATTTTGAATCCACAGATAACACTGGTATAGTTTCACTACATGGGATATTGTTGGTCAGTGCAGTAGAATGTAAATTGAGAGCTTTATTAATAATCACAACCTGTTTTACCCATTCAGTAGCCAGAAGGGTGTACCTCCTTCCATCATCATCCCAGTCATCCAGTGACACTACTTACTAACTCATTTTGGACATAAAATGTGGCCCCCTCTTTCCTGCTAAGCATGAGTACAATAGAGTTGTTAATACAGATCTCATTAAGTAATAAAAGAAAAGGGGAAAAACAAAGGAAAGGAGGCCGTCGGTGGGGTGGGGGCTAATATTCATATAAATACTCGGTATGGAGCTAGCTGGTGATGCCCTTGTGGTGACAGTGCTTACTGTGCAGTTACCATCCCCCTCCCCCGGCAATAAATCAGGGTGTGTCAGAAAGGGGTGTGAAATGCAAACACGGGTGACACCGTAGAAACTCCTTCATCTTGAATGACAGACCCGCAGGGACCGTCCGTGAGACAGCTCACTCTTCACATAGTGAATACAGAGTGGGCCTGTCCCCTGTTTTCATGCCTACATTACGGCAAAGGTGTTGTCCACAGACAGCACATTTGTTTTCCTTGCAGTGAAATTCTGTGTTCCTCAAAGTGCAGTGGCTCTATTAGTTTTCATATGGGAACCTGAAGCTCAGTGTCTTTGACAAAAGACTTACTCAAGGGGGTGATGTACCATAAAAACAGGTTTGTGCTTACAGAATAAAACAAAGCAAGGATAGTATCCCTTAAAACTAACTGCTTTCATTTTCAGTATAAGTCAACCACACTGGCAAAAATCTGTGAATGTGTCTTCCTCCAAAAGGGGAGTGATTCCTGCGGTGTTAGAGTTGTCCCTCCTTAACCTCGGATCTGCTGTGGGCCGGCATCTGTTGGCTGTCTAAGGACAGGTTTGGAATTTAGCATTTTCCCGCACTGTGAGGGAGAGCAACCACTCAGAGATTTCCAGAAACCCTGGATGCCTCACTATAGAGCATGTGTGCTTTGTGTTCTCTGTGAGTCGGAGGAATTTTTAGAGAAAGAGTACAACTCATTAGGCCTATGGATCTGTGGACCTGTCAGCTAACTCCTTCTCTTTCTTACCGTATAACACCGTATGACTCTTAGAGATGAAAATGATGGAGCTTAGACGGAGATAAAGCCAGCCCACTCCTAAAAACAAAAATCTTCTGGGTAGGAGTGAGGGTGGTAGTTCATGTTTTTGTTTTATGTCCAGTCCATATCTTTCGCTTGTATCCTCATACAATTTTTTAAAAAAGATTTTATTTATTTATTAGAGAGAGAGAGTACACACAAGCAAGGGAGGGTGGCAGGCAGGGGCAGAGGGACAAGAAGACTCCCCGCTGAGCAAGGAGCCCAGTGGGGACTCGGGACTGGATCCAATCTTGACCTGAGCCAAATGAAAGCAGACACCTCACTGACTGAGCCACCTCAGCGCCCTCCTCAAACAAATTTATCCCTGACTGTGTTTTAAACATCAGTTTCAGTTTTCTGACTGTGCTCTTAGGCCATTAGACACTGATTTTTTGTTGCTACTTGTTGATCTTACCAAATTAGCCATTCACCCTCATTTCAGTTAGTGTTGTCAGATGAACTGTTTTAAACAGAAGCAGTTATTTAGAGAAAATTATATCCGCTACTCCCTAATTGTTTAAGAAAGTTACCTGAATACTTTTTAAAAACTGGGCTCTTGATGACGCTGATTATGAACTATGTTGGCCTTTCATAAAATTAATTGCGGCGTTTTGATTGATAGGATCTCCAGAGGTGGGTAAATGGTGCTAACGAACATGGCTTTGTCCTGGTATCTTTCGGAGCTGGTGTCAAGTACCTGTCCGAAGACATTGCTAACAAGCTGGCTGGAGCTCTGGGGAGACTGCCGCAGAAGGTGATCTGGAGGTAAGGTAATCATGCTGGTTGTTTCTTCACTGCTGATTTTCGGGATCTCCTTGCCTAGCCGACAGGTCCCCCAGTCCACACAGCGTGCTGGCTCCCTGGCAAGATGAGCAGGATACCCCTGACTTCTCATTCTGTTTCTTAGCCTGTTGAAATCTAGGGACGAATTTATGAGACTCTGTGATGGATAAAGAGAGAGATATCAAGCCTATATAGCCTGCAAAGAAAATATGATGCAGAGTGATTTATCCTTGTCTCGGGTGCATTTTTGTGTTACCTTCAGCTTTATATCCTGTTTCCTTCTCTTAGTTATTGTCATTTAAAAAAAAATTGTAATTACATGCATTTCTAGATACCTTCTGTATACCTTCACATCAGTGTTGGAATGAGGTAAAGAATGATGGGTGAATGAATAAACAGGTAAAATATTTCATGGAACTGTTCGTCCTTTATACATGCTTTTTTATTTCATTTATCTAAGAGACTGGGTTTTTAAAAACACAGTAACTTGCCAGTTAATGCTGGTTAAAGCAGATCCATAGATTGCCCCCAGCTTCCTTTGGGAGACCCTGCCAGCAAGTGTCCGTCTCTGGACTCCCCCCCCCACCATGTAAATATCAGACCTGAACACCATGTACCGTGGATCTCTTTAGTCCCTGCCACTGCCCTTGGGCTCCAGGGATCCTGCAGTGACTGACATCGTCCCCAGAGGTTCAAGCCATTACTAGTAGGGTCTGAATACTACAGGTTTTTCCTTTATAACAATTGTGTAAAGATTAGGTCCCACTTTTCCTGTCTGAGCTATGAAATGGACACATATTTTTATCCCCACCGTTTAGGACTTCTTCTCTGGATGCCAGTTCGATTGCGATTTCTATATTAGGAAAACCAGAAAGCACCCTTCTGCTTTGTTGAGGACAGGTTGTGTCTGCTCAGTTCAGACCCTTGCCACTAGGCAGATGAGTCATTAAGCATGTTCATGGTTTATCTTGGAAAGATCTTGATCTTTAAGAAACCACTGAATTGTATCCTTTGCCCCACAGAGCACCTGTCTCCAGGGCCAAGCTCGAGGAGAGTACTTCCTGCTTTCTTCCAATTCTCACACCTTTCCTTAGGCTCTATCCACTGCCCAGTGGGGCCTCCCCGCTTCTTCGAGTTTCTCCTTCTGGGTCCTGCTGGAGAGTGACTTTCTAGAACAGGTTAATTTGGATCCTTCCCACCCCACCCCCTCACCCACTGTAATCGGGTGAGAAGAGCTGAAGGAAAATCTCAATATAAGCCAAGTGCTTTTTGTTCGTTTGTTTTTAATCTCAATCAGTGAAAATGTGAAAAAGAATATCAAAATTTTCTTGTTGCTAAAGCATGGTTTCCTTCTTAAAATATCAACAAAAGATCATGTAACGTTTATTTTAAATCTGATAATTTAACCACAGAGTCTATACCAGGAGTTAAGTTGGATTTTTGAAAGATTCATTGTCTGATGATGTACATTTTAGGTTTTCTGGAACCAAACCAAAGAATCTAGGAAACAACACTAAGCTCATAGAATGGTTACCACAAAATGACCTGCTTGGTAAGTCAGCTGCATGTAGGTACTTACTTGGCTTTTGGATCTGAATTGTATAAATGTGATTTTTGCATGTGAACATCTTCTCTAATATGTGTGTAGTTTATGAAAGAGTCGCCGTGTCATCCAGTGTCTCATCTTAGATTTCAAGCCAACAAGTCAAATCTTTATTTATTGGAAAATAATTTGTCAAGTATAATCCTTTGGTCTATAAATTAAAATTTTTTGGCCAGTCACTAGTTTTAATTTTCTGGAAAATATACTTAATAAGCTATATAAACTGGCAGTGAATAAAGTTCTACCTGATTAGACTAATCAGCTAAAGGTAGTAAAATTAAAACAATGAAAATACAGATTTGTGTTAGAGTTTTATTACAGACTTATCTGAGAACTCAGAAAAATTCAAAGTTATTCATTTATTTGAAACCAAAGAGAAGCAAAAGGCCAAGGAAACATCTTTAGGCCAATAAACATCCTATCTTTGTTTGGTTCATCTGTTTAGATTTCCCCTTAAGTCACCAGATATTTTTGAAACATTTTATTAAATAAACACATGATTTATTTATTTATTGATATTCTGACCCTCAGATGAAAACTAAAATAAAATTATGTGCATTTATTTTAAGATATTTGAAATATATAATTTAACTGTTGGATAAGTGTAGATAGTAATACCGTAATTTCATTAAATTTCTAGGAAAACATGATGCCATATTATTCTTTAAGATATTAAGGAAGTTATAAAAATGGTAGAGTTTTGGCAATATTGGCCATCATCTGTTCAATAATACTAAAATATACCAGATTATGTAAGTGTCTTTAAACAGTATTTTTAAAAATAAGTTTTTGGGGGAGCCTGGGTGGCTCAGTGGGTTAAAGCCTCTGCCTTCAGCTCAGGTCATGATCCCGGGGTCCTGGGATCGAGCCCCGCATTGGGCTCTCTGCTCAGTGGGGAGCCTGCTTCCTCCTCCCTCTCTCTCTGCCTGCCTCTCTGCCTACTTGTGATCTCTGTCTGTCAAATAAATAAATAAAAAATCTTTAAAAAAAAAAAATAAGTTTTTGGGTGAAAAGTATTTTTTAGAAGCTACAATGACCTGTCCTAAAAACCAGCAAATCGAATTTTGTAACTGAAAAAGTGAGGTATGTAAGTGCTATATAATATTCTTAAAAATAGGCTTTTGAAAAGAATTTTTTAGATGCAATAAAGTGACCCATCCTAAAAACCAGCAAATCAAATTTTATAACTGAAAAACAGCAAGGAATTTTCCTTACATAATTTTTTTCATCTAGTTCCTTATATATATTATTCTGTAAATGACAAAATTGAAGAAGAAACAGGGCAATTTACCTTTCTTAATACTTGTATTTCATTTTCATTTTTTAAAAATGTCTTTACTATTATGACTTCAGATTCCATAGAAGGTAGAAAGAAGCAAGAAATTTAAATAAGAGAATCTTGACTGCCTGTTCTTCAGTGCCACAGTGTGATACCATGATCTGAGAACATCTGAGCTGTTCTCAAGGGTTTTTTCGGAGAGGCTGTACAGCGAGGTCTAGCTACACAGTGGTTCACATCCAGTGGCCCTCCTCAAATTAATAGCTCTTCCGGGTTCCTCAGAATCTTAGTTCTCTACCTTTGCCAAGATTAGTGTCCTTTTAATCACCAGGTATGACTTTGTGGGTCCTCTTTTGGCTCCTCACCATGATAAGAAGATTCCTCCGGGATGAGAAGTAGGACCCGAACCACACTGTCTTTCCCCTTCCTTCCTTCCATACTCCTCCCTGCCCTCCACCCACCAGCACTATCTCATTTGTTACTTCAGAACTTGGTAGTAAGGTTTTATTCAAAGAGAAGGTTTTGCTGCTAAAAACAAAGTTTGAAAGCACTGAGAGGGCAGGTCCATTAGATGGGCTCAGTTGAGAAGTCATCTATAGACAGAGGTGACACTGAGTGACTAACCCTGCTAGCTACAGGGTGGGAGTGTCCCAGTGCCCAGCTGAGATGGAGGTTCAACACCCAGAGTCTGTACTGTACCTGGTGTGTGAATATTTAAAAGATTTGTTTCTGTGAGCTTTAGTTCCTTTCTGACCATGGCACGTACTTTCTAAGTGCAGTGTTTCTTTGTCCTACACTTCTTACACAAGGCTTTTGGTCCCTTTTTGAAATATAGGCTGCTCAGGAGGAGATCTGGGTTTGGAAATACCTCATTAATTTTGATAAATTATCTTCTTTTATCCCCGTGACAACTAGATGTTACATGATGTTCCATTGCTTACAATTAATTTTTATATGTGTCAGCCCCTACTTGTTTATATCCCCAGACTGTGAAATTGGACCCTAAAATTGTGTAGCACAGAAGCTGACATGACTTGAATATTGTAAATACTTTGTACTGCACAGTTTTCCTCCTTGGATAAGCACATAAACTCTTCATGGTCTTTAGGAGTCCAGCCCCACATCTTAACTTTTTTTTTTTTTTTAAACAAAGTGTGTTCTGCTGTTAATACAGATAAATGCCAAGGCACCTGGGTGGCTGAGTTGGTTAAGCATCTGCCTTCAGCTCAGGTCATGATCTCAGGGTCCTGGGATGGTGCCCCACAAGGGGTTCCCTGCTCAGTGAGGAGTCTGCTTCTCTCTCTCTCTGCTGCTCCCCCTGCTGGTGCTCTCTTGCACTCGCTCTCTCCCTCAGATAAATAAAATCTTTAAAAAATATATATAAAGAGAGGGATAAATGCTTGGGTATCCAGAAGTGGCTGTCTGTTTTTAGTAGAATGTGGTTGTACCCTGGTATTCTTGGCATTTCTTGCTTTCATTGACTTCCTATTTATTATTGGCCTCTTAAATAGATGTGGCTAGTCAGTTGATACTTGCGTTTGAGGGAAAGTTAAAGCCATAAATTTTAGCTATTTAAAAATGGCTTTTAACTAATATATACAAATCAGTTCATTATTTTTTTATAAGCATTTTAATTGATGTAGAAGAGGAATCCGTGAAATTATGCCTTTAAAATCTATATCTAAAATGTATATTTATTATAGGGTGGATTTTTAAGAGATTCCTGGAAGATCTCTTAGAATAATATACAGTACTGTAAATTGTTTTCTTCTTTAATCCTTCTTTAGGGCATTCAAATATTAAAGCCTTCCTGAGCCATGGTGGTTTGAATAGTATTTTTGAAACTATGTATCACGGTGTACCTGTAGTGGGAATCCCACTCTTTGGAGACCACTATGATACTATGACTCGGGTCCAGGCAAAAGGCATGGGGATATTGCTAGAATGGAAGACTGTTACTGAAGGAGAGCTGTATGAAGCATTGGTGAAAGTTATCAATAATCCCAGGTAAGTTTTCAGTTAATATGAAAGCAAATGAAAGATAAATAGCACAGCATATTGTCAGTAACCAGTTATTACCAAGAAGTTGTCAATAAACCAGTTACAGAAATATCCTTTAGATTCCTGTGTCTGATGCTTTCTGTACATCTTCCTGTAATTTGAAAAATAAAGACAGCAGTCATACAGCCAGCCAGGTATGACCTTGAATAATATTCTACCAGGATTTGCCAAATTGAGGGAGAAATTCCAGTGGGAACAATCATCGGGTTCCTAAAATGTGTCAAATTTTGTGTTCTTTGTCTCATTTTAATACTCGTAATATCTGTTTATCACTGTTTTCATTAATGACATTATAAAGATGAGGCACTTGAAACTCAGAGAGCTTAAGTAATTTGCCCATAGTTGCACAGCTATTAGAGTAGAAATTTGAACCAGGACTGTCTGATTCCAAAGTTGGTGCCCTTTGTATTGACTGCTGCTGGGTTTCCCTAAGACGAGTATCACCAAAACACAGAGATTTATTGACTCAGGTGCATGACTAATCAGAATCTTTTATTTATTTGATTTGGTTAAATATTTGATTTCTTGTGTTAACCCAGTTAACCACTGAGTCTCAAAGGGTCTGGAGAGATGACTCATGTAGTTTTAAAACAACGCAGCATCACACCAGTCAGAATGGCTAAAATTAACAAGTCAGGAAATCACAGATGCTGGCAAGGATGCGGAGAAAGGGGAACCCTCCTACACTGTTGGTGGGAATGCAAGCTGGTGCAACTGCTCTGGAAAACAGCATGGAGGTTCCTCAAAATGTTGAAAATAGAACTACCCTATGACCCAGCAATTGCACTGCTGGGTATTTACCCTAAAGATACAAACGTAGTGATCCAAAGGGGCACGTGCACCCGAATGTTTATAGCAGCAATGTCTACAATAGCCAAACTATGGAAAGAACCTAGATGTCCATCAACAGACGAATGGATAAAGAAGACGTGGTATATATACACAATGGAATAGTATGCAGCCATCAAAAGAAATGAAATCTTGCCATTTGCGACGACGTGGATGGAACTAGAGGGTATCATGCTTAGCGAAATAAGTCAGTCAGAGAAAGACAACTATCATATGATCTCCCTGATATGAGGGAGAGGAGATGCAACATGGGGGGTTAAGGGGGTAGGAGAAGAATAAATGAAACAAGATGGGATTGGGAGGGAGACAAACCATAAGTGACTCTTAATCTCACAAAACAAACTGAGGGTTGCTGGGGGAGGGGGGTTGGGAGAAGGGGGGTGGGGTTATGGACATTGGGGAGGGTATGTGCTATGGTGAGTGCTGTGAAGTGTGTAAACCTGGCGATTCACAGACCTGTACCCCTGGGGATAAAAATACATGTTTACAAAAAATAAAAAAAATTAAATTAAATTAAAAATAAATAAATAATAATTAAAAAAAACAATGCAGCAGTATTCCCCATTTTTATATGACACTCAGTTAATCTTGCATTTCATATGACAGTAGAATTTTTCTGTTTATACCTGCACGGTATGGGTAAACACTGGATTGAAAAACATTGTCATAGCCTAAGAAACAACTGACAATAAGAAAAATTCTTTCATAGAAAATGATGCAGCTTCCATATAAAAGGCTGGATTCAGGTCCACTGAGGTTCATTATGCTGCCTTAAGTGGGCTCAGAGGCAGCCTTCCTGCTCTGACCTCTTAAAGGATCCAGTGTCTTGATCCTAGCTCTGGCACTGGGAGCGCTGGGGTGCCTTAGTATGGGGATCCCTCTGTGTTCTGTAGCTCTTCTTTCAAAGTCGAGTGTTTTCAAGACAGGATTTTATGAAAAATGATAAGTATTTTACAGGCTTTTTAAGAAAGATTTGTAAAATATAGCCCCAAAGTGAAGTTTGTTGGGGGTGGGGGGAAGGATACTTGCAGAGCTTCAGGGATTGGATTTGGTCTACAGAAAAAAGCAAAAGGTTGGATTATCCACATACAATCCCTCTGTCAGTGTTCTTTGAGATATAAACAGGGCCTACCTAATTAGAGACCATGCTATAGTCATATGTCACACTGCAATTAAACCCCAGTTGTGCAGTCTTCAAGTATACAGAGGTACTCTGAGTACCGATTAACCATTTAAGAGGGTATTTTCACTACATATATATATGCATAATATGTATATATATACACACATATATATGAAATATATATACATATTTTACATGTTTAATATATTTTGTATTTATATATGTATATATTTTATTTAAATTTTATATATAAAATGAAAATGTATAAAATGAAAAACTATATATATGTATATATATGCACCATATGACAGTTATCTGTGGATGGCTTCATAGTGGTGTTTCTCAACTCCTTTTCCTCTGTTGAATAACTATAATAACCTCACACCTTCACTTAATGTTATTTTAAATCAGAGCAAAGTTAAATTTCATTGCTTAAAAAAGGTTTGGGACAAAATTCTGCATTTTTCCTCATCTCTACCTTTTAGAATCTAATAAATATACACCTCTTCCTGGTTGAGACTCATTGACTAATAGTATTTAAAAGCATAGGGAGAGAAGGAGTATGTGTGGGTAAGAGGTATGGTATAGCAAAAACAAACCAAACAAACCTGGGGTTTAGAGTCAGAAACACTTGAATCTGAATCTCAACTTTGTAATCATAATCAGGTCACTCAGTCTCTCCGAGTTCGTTTTCCTCACTTGTTTAAAATTTATTTTATTGTCTTAACACAAGATACTGTGTTTAAAGCATTAACACAGTGCTTGGCACATACTAGGTACTTAATAAATAATAGTTGGTTTTATTACTTTCCTCATTTTAGAATGAGAAAGTCTTAATACTGAACCTTATAGTGACATGATATTCTGTGTTCTGCCTCTCCACTCCATAGCTACCGTCAGAGGGCCCAGAAGCTTTCAGAAATCCACAAGGATCAGCCTGGTCACCCTGTCAATCGGACTGTCTATTGGATAGATTACATTCTTCGTCACAATGGAGCCCATCACCTACGTGCCGCTGTCCATCAAATCTCTTTCTGTCAGTATTTTTTACTGGATATAGCCTTTGTGCTTTTGCTTGGTGCTGCCTTGTTCTACTTTTTCTTGTCCTCGGTGACAAAATTTATCTACAGAAAAATCAAAAGTTTGTGGTCTAGAAATAAGCATAGCACAGTTAATGGACATTACCATAATGGAATCCTCAATGGCAAGTACAAAAAAAATGGCCATATTAAACATGAGAAGAAGGTGAAATGAGCCAACAGCCCACAGGATAGCAACAGATCTGTTCAGTCATTCAACTTTTATCACTATAATTTAGTCTAACAACTACTAAAAGTTAAATGTCAGTAAACAATCCTAACACTCCGTTCGTTACCTGATCTTACTAACAAAATTCTGTGGAATTAAGATGGCTGTAAAAAGCACAAACCTAAAATGCAAAAATGTATCTTATTCGAATACTGATACAGAGAGTTTTGGCACTGAACCTTTTAGAAGCCTTAATTATTTAAAAATCAATTAAGTGACCGTGTCAGACCTTAATTTTGAATCTTGATACGTGTGTGTCCCAGATAAGGAATGGTTTCTTTTCTTTGAAGAAGATTTGTTTGTTTGCGTGTATGTGTGTATGTATGTGTGTTTCCTAATTAAGAGAATTTTTAGGTGGCTGCTTGGCATATTTGTTGAAGGTACAACACATTCAAGAATGAATTTGAAAGGCTCCAAATGTTTCTTTTCTAGAATTTAATATATGTGAACTCAGAACACTTTACCACGAAGGAACACTTTTCCCTCAAAACTGAATGCAGTGAAAGAAAATGAAAAGATACATGGCACCGTTTTTATACTTTTTTGGGTTTTTTTGTTTGTGTTAGCTTTTTTGTTTTGTTTTGCCTTTTTGTTTTGTTTTCTTTTTCTTACAGGCTGTGGACCCTTCTGGGGGAAAAATACATGCAATTAAGTAAACTTATAAATCAGTTGTCACATTTTACTTTTGTTTTCCCCCTACCAATAATTTGCCTCTGAAAGAATTTTGTAGTTTTTTTTAATTTCATTTTAATGAATAACTTTGTGTTAAATGCGTAATTAAGACAAAGCTACAAAACTCTGACTTTGGTTCAAAGTACTGAAGATTATTGCTTATGTGGTATCTTTAAACAGGGCCGTTATTTGAATGTTTTTTTAACTGATGGATTTTTTTATAGTGTAATTTTTGAATGTTCAGGTGTTATCTTTCCAAAGTTTTAACTTTAAAAAACATGTTCTTCATCCTTTTTGTTGTCTGGGCCACACAATCCATATTACATAGGTGCCAACATTTAATTAAATGGGACATTTACAGTTCTCCCTATTGGTACCTTCTTTGAGAGGTTTGAGATTCTGTTAACAGATAGACTTTACCGGTTTCGCAGAAGTGACAGAGAAATTTTATCTCTTGCTTGTGAAAATGAGTTTCTACTTCCCTCTTCACTTCTTCACGCCCCACCTCAGTAGAGTTTTCAAGTCACTGTGGCTGACATGGAACAGTGACAGTGTTCACTGGAGAATAAGGACGCATGTCACAGACATCATAAAATCAGGACCTCCCGGCTGAACCATTCACAAGTTGGCAACTATGAGTTTATTCCATGTCATTCTGTTTACTTAGCATTTGCACTACACGTGTTGAGTGTATGCTTATTTATTCGTAGTTGGAGATCCCATGTCTGACAGCTGAGAGTAGAAACATACATTCACCTAATGACATTCACTAACATGGGAAGAGTTGTGAAAATTCTAGAATGCTGTAAATCCTTGTCATACACTATGACATACAACTTCATTACACTCCCACCAGGAGCCACTCTCTTCTACTTAGAAATAATGTCACAAATAGTTTTCTAATGTACAATGCAGACAGACGTACTGCTCTCTGAATACTTGAAGAAATGGTATTATACATATAAGTCTATTAGTTATACCTTTTCACAATCTTATCGTTATGTTGCCGTTAAAAGGGAAAAAAGGCACAGGCAATGAATGGTGGGATGGGAACAGGCTTAGAGTGTATGAATGAGTTGACTTTACTTTTTTGGAATTGGATGAAGTTGACAGTAGGCACTCAATGGATGATTAAGCATAAATTAATCTCCACTGTGATAAAAACTTAAACAATAAACATGATTTAAAATAGAGAAATGTTGTTGGAATAAAATTTTTATTCAGATTATATTTCACAATAGTATGTATATCCATTATAAACATGTTTCTGAGACATGTTTCCCAACTTTTATATGTGTATATGAGTGTAAAAAACAAAATGTTACATGGGATTTTTTTTATTACTATTAAATAGAGGGATTTACCTTATAAGTACATCAACATGGATCTTAAAATTATCCCAGAAGAATGTTAAGTGTAGGCATTTACTGTTCATTGTTCTCTCTCTCTTTTTTCTTTTTTCCTAGTAAGCTTATTGTTAGCCAGTTTTGGTAAATAGAGTGATTTTAAATTTTCCACATTTGGGCTAGATTCTCTAATAAAGTAAAGTTTTCAAGAAGGTATTTATTCATTTTATTTTTAAAAAGAGCCTCTACAAATATTTTCATAGCTGGTCGTCATATCAAATGCAAATGAGAATTAAGACATCGACCCATTTTTCTTTAAGAACCATAAGTTTTAATATCCCTCCACATAGATATAGGGGCAGAATTTGGATGTTCAGGATTGAAGGAAAGTAATATTTGGGTGAAAGTCATGGTTAGTAATTGAAGTTGAAAGTTAGAGATTCTTCTTGAGACCATAGAAACTTTGTATTAAAATGTGAGGACAATCTCAGACTGGCAGGTACTACATTGATCATTTTCTGATAAGGTCTTCGTAGGCTCGGGGATACTGTCCTCAAAGAACCACCCGTGTTCGTTACCCAACCATATATTTACCGCCCACCCCTACGCCGTGATACACAGCACCCCCTCCATCTGGGCGAGAATCCACCACACTGGATCCTCAGAGGACTGTCCTACTCTGTGATCTGCCATCTGCCCCTGCCTGCCTCCTTCCCTGCTAGGGACTAGTAGTGGTGAGACACTCCAGAGTCAAGATGTAGCATCCTGGTTTTTATCCCCCACACATTTCCTGCTTCGGCCAAGACTATAAGAATATCCATGGTCAAGCGGTCTGATAGATTCTGATAACATGTCTCAGTGGCCTGCTTCCAGATTTGCGCCCTAATTAAGGATATTAGACATTGTAATTGGATGTTACGGGGTGTAATACATGCACTGAAATTGACGGAAGTTCATTCTATTGGGAGAACATTTTGTGGACTGTTACTATTTATAAATGTAAGTACCTTCTCTGAAATACACAACTGAAGTGAATTCAATAAAAAATATCTATTTATCCTAGAATTTAGAAACTGCCAGGGCAGAGTGGCTTCCTTTCAACATTCAGGGGATGCCTGTCACACACCAGACATGATGCCAGATACCAGGGGAACTTACAAATGACGAGGTCCATCTCTCTTTCAAGGAGTCATGATCTTGTGGGAGATATGGACACATAAGTAATTATAATGTAAAGTGCTGATGGCTATAGCAGATACACATGGGATGTTGTAGAAGCACTGAGTAGCCAACAAGACCCATCACAGTGAACCCCACACTCACTACCGACTCGCTTGGTGGTGGTTGGTAATACAACTCCTGTGGCATATCTTAATCAGGATCATCCTCATCATTTTTTTTTTTTTTCCAGATAATTGTCTATTGAACCCAAGTTCTGGTTGTCCGAGGGTCTTGATGTTGGAAGCTAACTCCAACAGTTATTAATCTTCAACTTTTGTAATTCAGATTTGGCTAGTGATAATTATTTCATGGACTTACCATGAATACACGCGCACACATGCTTTCTCTGTACTGGCCACCATACTAAATGTTTTAAACACACTGTGTGTGTGTGTGTGTGTGTGCGCGCGCGTGTGGCTATTTAGCATAACTGCCAGCGTGAAATGAGCGCTCAAATCTGTCGTGGTTAGTCCTGAATCAACGAACCTCTGTCACAGTGTTGCACTTTGAGTTTTTGAAAGGTGTTGTTTGAAAAAATAATGTTTTATTCATTCATTCAGCAACCCTTTCCTGAGTCGTCTTTTCACCCCTGTGGTGTCCGAGGTGCTAGTGGCTCACTAGTCTGTCAGAGTTGTCCTGTCTTCTCTCTTCACAGCCCAAGTCCTCACCAAAGCCCAAATGCTACTAAAATTGAGTGACCCCACTGTGAAAAGAAAAGGTTTAAAAATGAGAGATCCAAAACAAGGCGACAAAACCATTTCAAGGAATAGTTCATAATCTGTTTTATTATTGAAAGTATAATTCATTTTCAGTTTTGCTTCTAAGTAATTCAGCTGGTTTCTAAATATTAAATCACAGTAGAGAATGCTAATTTATAACCGGTATAATAAAAAACATTTGAAAGAGAAAAATTTTAAATCTTACATGACAAAATTTAAGAATTATATGGATTCTATTGGTGAAAATTCTCTAAAATGTGCAGTAAAGGGCTTCTCATTCTCCTTATTTCTGGAAGGGTAAGGTTTTCAGCTGGCATTGAAAATCTATGTTTCATGCAAAAATGTTAGTGAAATTTTTGGAAGACAACAAAAACATTTTTCTAACAAATTTTAGTTATAAGTGTCTTAGGAATCCACACAATTAAAATCTTCATTTTGTCACTTTTCTACAAACTGCACAATGTTTCAGACTCCCTATCATAGACTTGGGTATTTGGGTTGTTAAGTTGGGGCTAGGGGAAGAAGAGCCTGGCTGTTCTTATTTGTCCAAGTATGGAAACTGAAAGGCACACAATAGTTATAAAATTGACATTCTTTACTTTTGGGTAAATAAGACATAATTTAAGAAAGAATTGATATAGTCCACAAGATTACTGACAATTTGCTTTGTGTAATAAAACCAGCAGATTTTTTTTTTTCAATAGCAATATGTAATCCCAGTGGACTGAAAAATAAGAATTACATGTAAAATTATGTTATTCAAATAAACCAATTATAATAGTGTAAATCTACACAAAGAAGTCTAACACCAATAGTAACAATCTCAGGTATTATAAAGCATTTTCGTTTATTCACTAATAAAACCTAAGTTCTCACTGAATTTTATATGACTAAAAATATTTTATTCTGTGTTGGTTTCTATCTACAATTAGTTTTTACTCTTTCAGTAACCTGTTTTATGGAGTAAGCAATCATTCCTTATTACAAAGACAGAATTAGTTTGAATTCAATATAGTATCCCTACTTTTAACAGGTAATTCCTACTGAGCCATGGATCCTTAGTCCTAATATTAAGATC